CAAATTGCAAATCATGGTGAAAAGTGATGTAGGGGAACAGAAAAACCTACTCTGGTTTCACTAACTGACCCTATGAAATTGGCAGTAGATAAATTAACAGCAAAACTATTTTAAGTAAACTTGTACTTACAGGAGGTCTACAGAAGACAAAACTGGAGGGAAGGTCAGATGGTTTAGGCCTTCTTGCCATCCAGAGGTGTGGAAAGAAGTTGGGGGTGGGGAGATAAGCCAAACCCATAGAAGTAAATAAACAAAGGCTACCCGCTGTTCAGATAAGTCTCTAACTGATGTAAAATGCCTTACTAATGTAGATTTCCTTCAGAGATGGAAATTTGTTTTACTCAAAGCACTGCTTCACAGAGCTAGTCTTGTGTCTAGTTTCTCAGAATAATCAGCTCAAAATGCACTGCACCAGAGAGGTATGTTTGAGGTCAGGTGTCCTGAGCCCCTGAAAGCATTAACTAGTTAGTCACTGAATTGACAATTGGAGATCTGTTTAAAAAAAAAAAAAAAGAGGAAGTAAAGACATCTTCCCACAATGTATACACAAACACACAAAATGAATAATAAGATTAAAATCTAAACCAAACCTACAAAAATTTTAAGAGAAAAGACAGATGTTTATAGCCTTACAATGGGAACACTTCCTAAGCAACATACACAACCCAAATCGTGTTATTATGTAAAAATGTTAAATGTATATAAAAGACAACATTGACAAGTGCCATAGCAGAGAATATTTGAAACATACATATTAAGCAAATGATTAATGTATATATCATGTAAAAACTCATCCAATGAATAGTAGAATGATAACCAGAAATCAGACTAAATTATTATTATAGATTGATGAGTTAGATAAAAATACTATAGACATTCAGATAGGGCTAAGTCCTTGAGAGGGCCAGGACAAAGGTGAAACACACCATAGATATACACTGGCTGAAAACCAGGCCTCAAGATAACGACAAGATGACCACGTCCACATATTTCTTTAAAAAACTGGATTTAATAAAATATAGATAGACATTGACCACCCTGGGGGTGACCAAAGACCTATAGACCCACTACCTCCCCCCAAAAAATCCTTACTCTTTCCATCTATGCTTGCTACGTGACTTGCTTCCCATTTGGACCACCACAACCTAAGTGACTATACTTGTAACCTTA